TATTTAATAGGCGAATTTAATTACCATAAATTAGTAAATTGTTATAAATTAAGATATAATCTGTTGATTTTGCCTAGCATAAATTAATGATTTTGATATAAACGATTTAGATTTAAATGATTAAGGAAATATATACATATTATGGATTTTAAATGATTAAGGAAATATATATTCAAAGAAAATCGAATAGGATAATGATTACTTAATAAATAATTCTTCAATTTTTAATATATAATGAAATGACAAAAGTTTATTTATAAAAATCTTACAAATAAAAAGTTATATTATCAAATGTATTTAAAAAATGTTAATATAGATTGATTTGGTTGGTCAAGTTAAAAATTAAAATAGTTTAAAAAGTCAACTACATTGAATATTCCATAATAAGAAAACATGGAATGGTTTCTATTAAAACAAATATTAAAATACCCAATGTTTAAAATTTCGATCAAGATCTTTATAAAATATTTGAAATTAAGAAAATCTTGCCAATTAAGCTAAATTTTAGGCATTTTATCTTACAAATAAAGTTAAATATCAAACGTAATAATTATCTTTCCTTTAATAATGAAAACCAATTTTTTTTTTATCAACTGAAAATTGAACGATGGAGATTAAATCTCTAAACCCGATTAACATATCCGTTTAGTTAGTTAGATCCGCGTGTTAACCCAGTTAGAAATGATAATTATTTCATTTTGAAACTATAGTGTAAATTCATTGTGTACTTCAGATTTAATAGTATAGATATGCGTAGGTTGTTTGATATGAATTAAAAGTCTACCTTCTTGTTACAAATATAAAATGTATTTATAATATTTTATATCTAAAACGTTTAGAATTTCCCTAGGCATGGGTCACTGCTCGCTTAATGACCATTACTTTCTTGAACATTATGATGTGATTGTTATATTATTCTCTTTACAAAATGTGTTTCTTCAGCTAATAAATGGGACACGTTTGGACATGAAACTAGTCTCCTTAGAATACATGGTGAGGAAATTGTATATATTTGAAGATTCGCTATCTTTGTGATTTGTGATGAACGTTTTGATGTGTAGTTTTTTTGCTAGCGTTTCTGTAGGGTCTAAACTACAGAGCTGAATTTGAACTCGGGAGTAAAGGCCTAATGGCAGCAACATATATACAGGTAAATTTTTACTCTAAGCTTTCTAAACTCTTTCTAATTTTATTTATGACAAACTAGTATTAATTGTTTTTGTACTCTAATTGGTATTTGCAAATTATTTGTATACACAAAATACTGAAAAAGTTAAGTATTTGGTTTATAAAGCGATTATGGCAAAGACACACTAAGACGTCAACTACAATTAGCTCACAAACACAAAAGAAAAAGAATAGACTGTTCATATTTTACTGTGAAAGTTGTTATTAAATTATTGATTGGAGTTATGTAAAAGTTGTTTCAACTATTGATGCTAATGGTTGATACAGCGTGTGACACCTCGTCTGTCTTTGGGTGGTGAGCTCTTTTGGGCCAGTGTGCGTCAAAAGTCGGGTGTAGGTTATGCTGCAAGATACGAGACTCCTACGATGGTAATTCCCAGTCACTTTATTAGATAGCTTCCTAACACTATTCATAGAAAATTTGAATCATATTTTTTAAATGACTTTTTTTTGTTCCATTGTTTACAACTTTATCCTTTTTCTATAAAAAAAAAAAACAGGTCTAATTTTGTAATACCTAATTTAATCCGACTTTTTAACTTTGTAAATTTTTAGTAAATGATATATCAAATCATGGAATCCGAATCTACTTCTAAATTCTGATAATTTTATTTACAACCGTGAAAATGTTTAGAAAATACATATAAAAGTTAAATTACATATTATTTTTTGGGAAATTGAAGATAAAGTTTAAAAAACCGGTCAGTTTGAGATTATATTTTTTGCAAACCTAGTGAATACTTTTACTGTTTGTTTCATATTAACAACTTTTTCTTTAACAGGTCGCCTCTGCCAAAGTTGTTAGCAGTGGTGATGTACTTATGACCTATGTTCATAAGATTTCAAAGAAGGTAATGCGCTCCATTGACATTTAATTTTATTTTTATGAGCATTTACATTGTTGAACCCATTCAAAAAATTATAAAGTAAACAATATTTTTAATTATATGTCTTTAAAAAAAAACTGAGAGTCTATCGTAATTTTTTTGAGTTTTTGTTAATAAAAGGTAATACTATTTTAATATTATAATATCGTGTTTGTAAATTTTTATTTTTTGTGAGATACTCCCATTGCATATACTCTATACTCTAAAGTTCGATAAGATAATAATCATGACGCACATATGTATCTTTTTTTTCAATAATAATTAGGTTTCACTGGCCACTGATTTTGCGTACAATTGCTTTTCGAGAAATGTTAACGCAAGTGTTGGGTATGACTGCCTTTCTAGAATGGTAATATTGCTATTTATAAAAAGACTTAGTGGAATTGAAAACAATATCTTTATAAAATCCGCTTAAATTATAATATTATGATATCATCTTTTGTTTCAGTCTCGTGTTCAGGGAAAGATTGATTCTAACGGTGTTGTATATGCCATTCTTGAAAAGAAAATAAACATGGGACTTGGAGGTGTTCTATCCGCAATTGTGGATCATAAGAACAAGGATTACAAACTTGGTTTGAGCTTATCATATGGCTCACCAGGCCACCCAATTCATGATGTTTGATCCCCTTTGTTTTCAAGTCAGTTAGGATGAGATACCCTCTTACGTACATAATCTTAGAGATGGACAGTGGCAATAACAAGATGAGTCTACCTAGGTACCTGGTGATATAATTAGCATAAAGCTTCGTTTAACTTCTTTGAGTGCACTATGTAAAGACTGTCTCTGCGAGAATAGCTTAACATTTATCTTTCCAATGTTCTAAGGAAGTAATGATGTTAATACCAAAATTCTAAGTCTCTAATAAAACAAGTTGTGCATGCATTTTAATTACCGTATGTTTTAATGTTAAAGTCCATTTCAAACTTTAGTATTCAAAAACAATGTTTTTTAATTAAATCCAATTAAGTGATAGAAAAAACGCAGACACAATCTCATATGCGTACGTAGTCAGTTAATTGATAGTTTGTATAGACTTGTTGTAAGCTTGGAGCTAGCTCTTGTATGTAACTGGTTTTATTTTGCTGTCATTCTTGGAATGTGATGAAGTCTGAATGATGAATTGAACTACAACTATATAGTTGTTAAATTTAAGATACGTTAATAACAATCAAAAAGAACTATTTAACGGCTGTTAACAAAACAAAGTTGATTCAATCATATATAGGCCTATTAAACCATGAAAAAGGTAGTAGTAGTATTTTTTAATTTTTTTTTTTTTAAATTAAAAGTAGTAGTATGTTAAGCAAAGTACTATATAACATGTATGCTTCGACTATAAATGGTTTATGGATATGTTATCAGATGGTAGACTAGAGAAAAGCTTTATGGATATTGGATAGCTTTCTTAGAGTTTTGGTATTAACATCATTACTTTCTCATATCAGAACATTGAAAGATAAAGCTGAAGTGGTCTTTTCTAACACAGCCCGGGAGTTGCATAAAACAGCATTTGATACACACAACATGTTTTTTCTTAATTAGGTGATCCATTTTATATATATATATATATATATATATATAAATGTCTGTCGTGGTGTTTTACAAATTTAAGTTACTATGTGAATTTTTGTGTTTACCTTTCGTGAATTTCACTTATAAAGTTCTTATGATGTGGATTTTGATAGGTTAGTTTTCAAATAACTGTTACACCACTCTATGATTTTTTTGATATTATACGTACTGTTTCGAGATTTTTTTTTATTTTTTTTTCTGGCATGGACCATGGATGATCTAAGCTGCAAACGCCTAGAATCAGTAGAATAAACCTCCATATGGTTTATGATCATCAAATAAAATTTCCATATGACTTTTCTTAGCTTTTTGTAGCATTTCAGTTTCGTTTGCTTGCAGAGAGGTAAAACGAGATCATAATGTTTAGTTTTGGCAACACCACTGAAAAATGTACTAAAATCTATGACAGTAGGTAGAGGACGAGACGTAAACCATGTCTTAGAAGAGATTAATAGCCTCGTCTGCCTTAATATCGACAAGCCCACTTTTCATTTCCTCTTCAAAACAAAATTTAGACTTTGGATGATAATGTGGAGGAGGACCAATACTACGGATACGACTTGCATTTCAAGTTCAAATGATACTGTTAAGAACAGTAGCCTCCTTCCTCGCATCGTTCTCTTGGTATTCTAGTGTTAGTGTTTAAACTTACAAACCATATTCTGCACAGGTATTCGATGACTAACGCATGGACACCATGGAAACAAGTTTGTTTTAGACCAAACTTCACGAATAGGAAATGAGGATGCTATAGATGCAGCCATTGTTAGCATGCTTGCTGATCCGAGAGAGTTAGAGTTGTTTCTCTTACATGAACTCTGTTTTATTAGGCTCTCTTTCTTAAAAGTGTTCTCATACAAAAGTTATTTTTTGATCTCTAGGCACGTGCAAACGAAACATTAGTCACTTCTTACACGAAATTCATCAAAGATTTGAAAAATGTAGTTAAACGTTGTTAGTTAAGCTTGGTCCTCAGTAGTGTGGTCTGCAATTGGGTTTCTATATATGTCATTAGGTGACTTCGTATTATGAGCATCGACCATCCCGTCCGGCGGATCTTAGTATTCAAAACCCTAAGTTTTTTTGCGCATTCTCTTGTTAGTGAAACAATATGAATCTCTCCTGCTACAATATTCCACGTATTCATGGATAAATATTGTACTGTGTGGATTGTTGCACTCGCACGTGCGGATCAATTTGTTTCGTTCACACACTGAGTCAAAGAGTCAAAACACTTTGCCACGTCATCAACCATCACTTTGTTGTTTTGGTATATAAGAGCATCTCCAAAGGGAGATGCTTATTTTGGGGTGTTAAACATTTTTTTTTATTAAATTTAATAATGAATTTGAATTTGTAAATTTTTTAAAGAATAATTTATTTTCTTCCTCCAATGGTGAACTCTATAAGAGGTTTTAAAAAATAAATATTTTTCTTACAAAAAATATTAAAAACCAAAATTATATTACATTACATGGATACAAAACATACAAAATATACATATTGAATTAAACATACACTCAAAATATAACAATAAACATATTTTTACAAAAAAAACTCTTGCCCCCCCCATTCCTCTAAAATATAATTTTCTCACTTTTTTTGCCTTAATTTTTTTCTTTTTACAATCTATACAAAAAAAAATCCACTAATATAGGAAAACAAAAATCAGCCTCTTTGACATAATGTCAAACACGTAGACAGCATCAAGAAAAAAAAATGAAAAAAAAGTTCAACCATTGCTAACCAATAGCAAAGCTCCACGTGGCGTTAAGCATCACCCCTTAAACAGCTTCAGTAAGGGTCGCTCCTTATTATTTAATCACATTATGATTTATTTTTAAACCATAAAATATTAAGAATCTCTAAAAAATTTGCTAACCACCTCCCTTTGGAGATGGTCTAACTCGAGAATGTTACTTTATAAACAAATTTTATATTTCGACCAAAAAAAAAAACAAATTTTATATCAAACACACTACAAAAAAAACTAAAAAGAATAATGTCACATCTTTTGCTTCATTCAATTTTCATGTCATCAAAGTTGAAGAGGTATTGTCTTGACAATGGATACTCCATCAGGCCTACTCCAATCGAAGAGGACGAGACCCAATTCATTTCTTAAAACATTATATGATCAACATCATCATCCTTCTTAACATAAACTCTAAGAAGAAGACACAATAACTCTTTTAATGTAATATTTGTTTCTCAATTCGTTATTTTAAATTTTAAATTCATTATACAAGATAAGTGAGAATTTAGTACATTTTCCAAATTTGATTATAAAATAATAGGTTAACTATTCATAATTTGCAAAGTAGATACATGTAATCGGTATCCAATTTTGTGTTTTCAATTTTACCACTTTCATTGTCGAGTATCATCAATTATCTTTATTACTAGTACATAAAATACATTATTAAAGCACTATCCCTTTAAACGAATCCCATTATTTTCTGGTAACTCGTTATATATATAAAGATAATTCATAAAACTCTGACATGTTTGTATTTGCAAATTGTTTGTATGCACAAAATCCTGAAAAAAGTTAAGTACTTGGTTTGTAAAATGATCATGGCAAAAAAAACAGTAACATGTCAATTACAATTAGCTCACAAACACAAAAAGAAAAAGAATATGATGTAAATTTTTGTTTTTATATTGATAGTAATTTTGTAAAAGTTGTTTAATTATTGATAGTAATTTTGTAAAAGTTGTTTAATTATTATTGATCGTAATCAAACAGGTGCTTGCTAGGCTATGGGCTTTGTACAAAACTACAAACGATTAATTATTATTATCGGCCCAAAGCCCAATAAGAACGTGAGCAACATGATTTTTAGTGACACGTGACTTTACTTAAATGAATGAAAAAAGAAAAAAGACAGGCTGGCAAGGCAAGTCATATCTTTTCTTTTTCTTTTAATTTTGTTTTTCCGATAATCCAAAACTATCTGATTTGAGCTGAGAAAAAGGAAATGAGCTACGACAAAGTCCCGCCGGAATCATATCCTCCTCCAGGTTTTGTTCCTTCGTCATCACTTCTCTTCCTTACGATTCCACTTCGATTTCGATTCCTATTAGTTTTTTTTAAAATTCTCTGATTTTGATTCGATTCTAAACTTTTTTTTTTTTTTTTTTCTGATCGAACGAAATAGGATACCAATCTCACTATCCACCTCCTGGTTATCCATCGGCGCCACCGCCGCCGGGATATCCTTCTCCTCCGTCGCATCACGAAGAATATCCTCCTCCACCTCAGTCTCACGGAGGATATCCATATCCACCACCGTCTTCACGTCCTTACGAAGGCGGTTATCAAGGTTACTTCGCCGGAGGAGGAGGAGGTTATCCTCATCATCATCAGGGACCGCCGCCTCCCCCTCCGCCGCAGTACTACGATCACTGCCATCACGATCATCACCATTACCAGGATTCTGACTCTGGTTGCTCCTCTTTCCTCCGTGGCTGGTTCGTTTCTCTCTACTACTAAAAACTCTTATTACTTTCCAGATTCGTTGTTTCCGTTTGTACTTTCACTATTCGATTCTTACTGGGTTTTTTTGGTCAATCTTGTCAACTCAATTGTGTCGGTTTAAACCTGTGATTGAGATTTATGTTGGCTTTTTTCTCGATTCTCTATTCACAGTTTGATTGATCTGTGACACTTTAGGAGTAACGTGTGGGTTAAAATGATCACTAGTTATTTGTCTATAGGGTTCATTGTATATGTGTTTTGGTTTCTGGAATTTGGGAATATTTAGATCAAATGATGCTGATCCGAACCAGATTCCTTTGAGTTGATTTGTGGATATGTCATCGTAGAGTCAGCTGAATTTGGACAACTACTGGAAACTCAGATTTCCTTTGGGAACCCAGACTTGACTTTCTTTTTTTTTTTCATTTTGTTTGGTGGCCATAGATTGGAAATTTAGAGCAATAGATTCGTATTAATCCTTAGATTTTGTGCTTTGCTGACCTTCTAAGGAAGCTTCTTGTCTTCCATGATGCGTTCAGAGCTATTCATGTCTAGTCACTATTGTAATGTTCATGTTGTGACACTCCGGTAATTGAATTTTAGACATGATGTTTTACTTTGCAATGGATCTAGCTTCTCTCTCAAGAACTATCTAATGGCTATTTTTTAATACATTTTTAACCCCAAAACATATGTGCAAACTATAAAGTCTCTAGATAATGTAGTTTTTTGGAAATTCCAGTGTCTATATCATCTGCAGCTTTTCTTCTCTTTGTATATTTTGTTGGGACTTGCGATGATAAACGGAATCGCTTTTCTTTTTGTTGCTTGCAAATTGCAGTCTTGCTGCTCTCTGCTGTTGCTGTGTGTTGGAGGAATGCTGCTTCTGAGAATGTTCGTCTCTGCTGATTTCATCATTTACAGTCAAAATTTGTCCAATCAAAGACATATGCCATAACTCTCTATGTTCTATCATGTTTCATTGTCTGTTAATGTTTACCTCTTTGTTTGAGAGTGCACTCATCCAGGGCATGGATGGATTAGACAAATAGGTTTCTTGTGGATGTTACTTTGTAATTTTTATGTAATATTTGGAAAACATGTTTGACATATCAGTTCTTTCAAAGGCTGAATTATATGGTATAATATTAATATGATGCATTATTATAAGAGAAATCTATTCCTCTTTGTTCGTTAAATTTACAAGTTCGATAAAGGCAGATCAAAACAAGCAAGTAGCATGTAACTGAATATGAGCGCAGAGAAAAGGTTGAAAAACATAATGCTTCATAGAAATCAGTTGCTGTCTGAAGCAAAGTACACCTAAAATTGGAGAAAGAGCTACCAAACAACATCAAAACTCAAAAGCCTAAAACAAAAACCAACATGTACCATAGAGAGGTCCACGATGGTCTGGTTGGGAGGAGTGGAGAATGGGAGACTAAAGAATCCTAACATATGGTGGTGCATCTTTTCTAGTCCCAACCACGGTTCTGTAGAGGTAAAGTTTATCAACCTTCTCTCTTTCATCTTCTTCATTCCGCTCCATCCGATTATTCTCATTCTCGTTGATGATCTCTACATTGAGCCGTGGCGAATTCTGCGCCAGCCTCTTGCAGCCACCGAGTGTTACTTCACAAGACGACATCCAAAGGGATCGCATTGTCTCGTACTTATGCACGTCAGCAAGAAGCGCAGCGTTCCCAAATGGACTGTCTCTTATCTCCAGTTTCCTCAGCTTTTTGCATCCATTCAACACATAGAGCATTCCTTTGTCAGTGTCCCCCGCAAAAGCTATCGAGAGCATCTCGAGCTGTTCTGCGTACATACCAATGTAGAGGAAGACTTGGTCATTTAAGAGACCGGAGACAGAGAGTCGTCTAAGACCCTTGCAAGCTTGTACAATCGCACCAAAGCCTTCATCTAGTGATTGAGATGTGATGTGGTCAGGTTTATGTGGCTCGAGAATGCATAGTCTGAACCGGATGAAGTTTGGGCAGTTTCTGGCCACGGTAATGAGCGCTGCATTTGTCATTTGTTTGCAGAAGTATAGAATCGAATGAAGTTTAGGGCAACCTGCAGAGATCGCAACTAGTCCAACTTCAGTCACAGCTGCGTTGTTATCTTCTTCACCATGTATATCGGAGGGAAAAACTCTTAGCTCTTGTAACTCTTTACATGTGTCAGCGACAACAACAAGTCCTTTGTCGCCAATACTATCCAATATCTGTAGGAACCATAAAAAAAAACTGTTAAATCATTAAACCATTTGTTGTCAGGTTGGCTAGTTAGTTTCTTTTCTTCAGGACAGTGAAAAGAGAGACATAGAGAGAGATCAAACTTACCCATAAGCGTTGAAGTCTCTTGCAAAGCTGAATAAGCTTAATGAGGTGGTTGCCTTGGATCTCGGCTGCGTAACTGAGGTTCAAGGAGATAAGGTTTTGACAAATCGGGTAGAACGCTGGGAGACAGAGTGGAGCAACCTCTAAGAATCCCGACAAGCTCCTTAACGAGGTGCACTTCTTTATGGCAGCCATGAGTTTTGTAAAAGACTCTGGATCTGGTTCATTCTCATAAGACCCTACTCCTAAGTCTAGTAGCTGCGGGGCACAGCTCATTAACCTTGCGAGTGCTTCAAGAGGTACTGCACGGTTTAGTTTCAAGCTCTTCAGGTTTGGTGACCTTGCGACAAGCCTCTCAAGAGCAGCCACATTGGTCTCTCCTTTAAGACAGGCGAAATTCAATGAGGTAAGAGTAGTGCAGCTGTCTGGAAAACAGTTCAGCCACTGACCTCTGTGATCATCGATTTCATTCTCTTGCAGGTCCAACTCACGAAGATGCCTAACAAGAAAGACAAGACATTTCTATAAACAACTAAAAACCTTGAGAAACGCCAGTAAAAAGGAAGGCACTTCACAACGACATTTTACCTGCAATTGGCGGCAATGGAAGCTAAGCCGTCAGTAGTAAAACCTTCACAGCTGACAAGAACCAAAGACTTGAAATTTGCAAAGGAACGTGAAAGAAGCTCCAAGCTTTCATCAGTCACAACCATCCGCTTCAACCTGAGCTCCTCAAGTCCCACACGGCTTCTAGCCAAGGCTTCAATCCAAGGCAGCACGAAACCTCCCCATTCGTAAGGAACCAAGTTGAAGTCAGCGAAATGAGGCTTCCCTTTCAAAGTCAAAGACTTGAGACACGGGAACCTCCCGATTAATCTCTCCGGGTTGATGGCGTAGCAGTTCCCGATGAACACTTGTTTCCTACTAAACCTCTCGATCTTGTGCCACGATTTGCAGACCAGAGATATAGAGTTCCTGTCTCTGTGAGAAGCGATGAAGTCAAAAACATGCTCTATGACCTCGTCCGGGAAATAATTCATCTTCCGAAACCCAAACAATAGGCCTTGATAGAGGAATTAACTTCAAGCTCAGCTTCTTCTTGGTACAGCGAGATCCACAACACAATAACCAGGAACCTGAAGAATCTGAAAGATTTTTAAAATTATAGAAACCAAGTATTAAAAATCAATACATAGATAAATGAGAACAGCATCAGATCCTGTAACTAGATAAACTAAAAACAGAGAGGTTTTAAGATTCAGTTGTTACGAGATAACGAATGAGCTAGATCTAAAGGAAGAATGAGTTTTCAAGACCTGAAGAGGAAATGAAGCTACTAGAATCGTCGTCAGAACTAATAGAAGCTCGCCGACGTCGAAAACTCAAAACGAGGAAAACGTTGAAAATAATGAATCTGGATAAAAACTGTGGAGTTTGCTTCAGCTCCAATGATGATGAGATGATCAAAGATTTGGATGAGAGAGAGAGAGAGAGAGAGAGAGAGAGAGAGAGAGAGAGAGAGATCACGCAAGCAAAAAATAAAAAGAGGAGAAAGAAGAAAAAAAACATATAAACAGAAGGAGAAGCTAACCTAGCTGACCAAAAAACTAACCATGGTTAAGCTTTGGTGTGGGAATGGGATGATCCAACGGTGGAGACTGGTTCAATGACAATGAGAATAGCCACAAAATTGAATCTTAACCGTTGAGGAGTTTCTCTCACACCGAGACGAGAGGGCCTTTCGCCAAAGAGAAAGGGTGAAGTGATGTATTAGAGTGTCAGAGAGCAAGAGCCTTATTATATACTTATAGAATTAACCCTACCTTTTCATACTATTTACCAATATTGCCACGTAAACAGATTTATTTGATTTTGATTTTAATCGTCTTTTGATTTCTTTATCTATAATTAGGCATGACCACGGTTACGGTTAATGCGGTTATGGTTAATTAACCACCGGTTAACGGTTATAATTTTTTAACCATAACCTTAATCATTATATATACGGTTAAGACGGTTACGGTTATATACGGTTACGGTTAATTACGGTTACGGTTAAATACGGTTACGGTTATTTGATGATTATTATAATATTAATATTGGAGATAAAATTTTATGAAATATTATTTATTTTACAAGTAAAAAATATATGTGATTTCAATTATTTATAGTAAATTAGTTAAATCTGGGTATTGTATACAGTTATAATATAATTTATTTTAAAAATTTAAATATGCGGTTAACCGAGCGTTTAACCGTACGGTTAACCGACGATTAATTACGGTTAATTATGGTTACGGTTAATTAACGGTTACGGTTATTATTATTTTTTAACCGTAACTAATTTATTTTTACGGTTAACGGTTACAATTTTTAACCGTTTTATACGGTTACGGTCCGGTTACGGTTGATAAACGGTCCGGTTACGGTTAAAAATACGGTTAAGGTTAGCTTTTGGTCATGCCTATCTATAATCTCTTCTTTCACGTACGGTTGTTAGAAAGTGCAACAATTAAATTTAAAAGTATTCGTGAAAATGATATTTGATTAGTTAAAAATACTTTATTACTGATTATTTAACTAAAAATACAGTGTTTTTCTCTGATTCGTTAGAAAGTGCAACCGTAAGCAAATCCACCTTTATCTATAAAAAAAAAAACAAGAGAAAAGCATATCCGTATATAAAATCCAAACGTACAGTCGTATCGTACTGCATCAGAATACATATGTTATTCCTGTTTTAGTCATTTATTTCAGTAATATTATTAGTTACATATCATAAAAATGTTAATAACCAAACAAAACCCAAAAGCTAACTGTATATTCTTTTGGTATTTGTGGGTTTAGGGTTCAATCCGGATAACTCTGTTGAAGAAAAATATTACAGTATAGTTTATTAGTACTTTTAATCTTCAAACAATAACAATAATAAAAAAGATTTTAGTAGTATGATTCCTTTCTAATTCAACTGAAGCTAAAATTGATTCTAAACTATACTAGGGGTTCATTTAAGACAAATCCTAACAACCATAGTTTAAAATGGTGTTATATATACTGCCTAAATGAATAGACAAAAAAAGAGAGATATTATAAAAGGAGCATGAAGGTGGCAAAGGCTTCATAATAAAACTCAATAATAGACCCACTTGTTGATTATTACATCCAGAGAGAGAGAAGAATGAAGAAGAGTACACAAACAAAATCATTGTTACTGGTTTGAAAGATTTGAGTCACTTTTATCTTTGGACAACACTAATTTTGAAAAAATCTTATGATAAAGGTATTGGTATTAATTATTGGTAAGTGCTAACTTAGAAGCATATACGATATCAACTAATTATATCTTTCATACAATCCTCTTGCGTATTATATGAAAGATGTTTTTTTTTTTTAAAAGAAACTTATATGGTAAAAATGCTATAGGTTTTTTTTTTATAATCCAAAATGTGAGAGATAAATCTTGTGTGAAAAGGGGATGAGTGATGATGATTTAACCTCTCTTGAGTCTTGACCCATCATATGCTACAATGGCTGCCATGTGAAGGCCACCTTTTTTTAGTAATCATCATCTCTATTTTACACCATCAATACAAAACCTCTTCTTCTTTTTTTTACCATTATCTTGGTTTTTAGTTGACTCAGATAATGCCTGTATTATTGGATTTTACTGTGCAACCAACCCCCCCAATCTCACTCACCTCTCAAGTTTATGATAATGCAAGGGTTAAATTATCGTGTAAATTCCAAGTGTTTTATCATATATAGGACAAAAGAAAAGTACTCCGAATATCCCAAAATGAGATTGAACTGGTCTCTCTATCCTTTTGTAAGGAAAAAAAAAAGTATTTTTGTATTTATCTTCTAGAACTCTTATCTTTTTCTTTTATTTCTCCCCCCCCCCCAGCTTTTTGTTGGTTCATGAGATTCCCTTTTTCCTTTTATCTTATGAATCCAAAAGGCCAAATTCAAAGGCCCATAAAGCAGAGAGACTCATTATGACGCATGTCTCACTTATTAATAATCATCAATCTCTACATATGAATGATACCAACACCATACCCTTTACACATATCAACCACACACATCCATATCATATACACATATCCGTCGACATACATATACAATTTTTAAGTATGTATTGCATCTCCCAATATGAGAGATTCGGAAAGGAACCCTTTACCAGTTCTCATTGTCACTCCCTGGTGGTCCATTCTTCTTTTGATTTAAGAAGTGAACTTAAGAGTTATGATGATATTCTCCTGACAAAATTCTGTAACTCCTATTATTGAACTATACGAATCTATGCGTCGAATATAAATAAATTTGGGTACATTACTACTAACGGTTAAACGCTAAAACTCCATGTGGTGTGATTCACACACACTTCAGTATTCACTGCTGAGTCAAACAGAGTTGCTAGTAATACATACACCTCTGAGAAAGGGGTCACAGTAAACAAGACACTTACTATTACAAAGGGTCACAACTCACTGTATGGGGTCACAATAAACAAGACACTTAATATTGTAAGGGTCACAACTCACTGTATAGAAACACATCGAAGATCGACCTCAGGAACATTACACTTGAACGAGTATCTTATCGTCATTTCGTCTTATGAGTTGTAATGTATCAGTCTACTAACTATCGGTTGAAGATGCGAATTGAAAGTTTCGACCTTTACTAATCCTCGAGATAAAAAGCAGAGAACATAGCCAGTAATGATCTTGATTCCAGTACTCTCATAATCTCTTAAACTAGTTTAGCTTAACCTCACCCCGTCTCATTAACCTTCTAGGACTTAGATTTGCATTGCCAAATGAAAACAAGAACATGAACTACTTTATTCAATACTCGTTATAAGCTGCATCATTATCTACATCAAGAATGTTCACTGAAATGCATAATGTAACAGATCCTAGAGTCTCTATCTACACTACAGAGCTTAAACAAGACTTTCAAGGATCATCCACGGCCGCCCTTAGAGTAAAGGGTTGTTATTGTCTCACACATGTCAAAACTCACATATTGACCGATTCAATACCAGTTTTCTCTAATATAAAGTCACAAGCAGCAGTCTTTAAATCTCACACAGAACCGAGAAAATATGATAAATTTGCACATCAAATAACCAAAATCGAAAACCATCAAGAGGCACACTGGATTAGATTGCAAGAACACCAAAAGATATACTATATAATAAGCCAGTTTGGTCCAAGCGTTTGCAACATTAGATTATAACCAAGAAGAATCACTGAACAGAGACAAACCCTCTTTAGAATCAAAGGACTAAATTTTGATTTTCCTTAACACTAACCTCGTTATAAACTTAAGGTTTTCTTTAAGCATCACTATCATCACTGCTATCATCATCCTCGTCGTTTCCGCCACGGTTACACACTTCATTGGAGATGTAAACTCCAGGCTGGCTTGATCGTCTCCTAGTCCTCGACGGAAGGATATTATCCAAATCAACCTCAGCCAAAGGATCATCGGAGAAATCACTTTCGTCATCTTCATCAAAACCTTCGTCATCGTCATCATCACTATCGTCTTCGTCATCACTATCATCCACTTCAATCAATTTGCCTTTCCCCTTATCCTCTCTCGAAATCCCTTTACCTTTCCTATCAACCTCTTCTACTTCTTCTTCTTCTTCTTCCTCGTCGTCTTCCTCTTCATCTTCTTCATCTCCAACTTGTTGTTGTTCTTCTTCAGCTCCAAAATCTCCGATTACGCCATTATCAACCTTTTCAGCTGCTTTCTCCGTTAAAACCGATGATTCATCCCCAATCTTGTCCTCGGTGGAAGAATTAAGATTCTCGACGCCAGTTCCATTGGTTTCTCCGCCTTTGGAGTCAGAATCAGCAGAATTCGATGAAGGATTGAGCTTTTGAGACTTGTTTGATACATTATCCTGGTCTTGGCAAAAGAGATCAGATTTCCGCTTCACAGGAAACGAAGAATCCTGTTGATTCTCAACATCCGCCATAGATGAATGAAACTTTCTTACTTCAGAGAATAGCGATTGCTTTGAGGAGGACGACGATGATTTAGAGTTAGGGCTTTGATAGCTGAAAACAAACACTACAATCAAATTTTTGGTGGTAACCCTAGAAATTTTTTTAGGGTTTTCTTTTCTCAATGATTTTTGTTACCGTCACTTTGTTTCTCTTTACTTTATTATTTGGATCTCAACAAATTGGCCCATTATCAGCCCCTTAGCCTATCTTCTCTTAACATATTGGACATTGTGTTATTCATTATAAAAAGCCCGAGTGTGTGTGCAGGAGAACGTGCCGGGGGATACTAAACCGGCTCAATGCTAAAGTTTACCGGTTAGTTTTTCTACTCATTAGTGGTATATAATTAGAACCGGTTATCCAATTTGACAGGCAGAGATGATTTGATTGAAATACAGATCCATCGGAGAAGAAGACAGAGAGGGAGAGAGATAGAGATTGAAGATCAATGACTTCGAGGTACTGGGTTGTATCTCTTCCAGTGAAGGACTCTGCTTCTTCGTTATGGAATCGATTACAGGAGCAGATCTCCAAGCATTCCTTTGATACTCCAGTTTATCGGGTACTCTGATTTTCCTCGATTTGGTCTCTCTGATTGCCAATATATGGCTGAGATCTTGTACTTTCTCGTTTTGCTTTAGTTTTCACAATTCGGAAAGGATCTGATTTCGTGGGTTTTGATTTCATTTTCGCAGTTTAACATTCCTAATCTTCGTGTTGGAACCTTAGATTCTCTACTCGGCCTTGGTGATGATCTGCTTAAGGTAATTCATCTGATCATTGACTGGATTTTGCGTTTTTTTTATTTACTTTAGTTATCCTCTCTCGGTTGAGAAATTTTGTGGGTAATGATGTATGATCTCTTCTTTTGTGTAGTCGAACACCTTTGTGGAAGGAGTTTCACAAAAGATCAGGAGACAGATCGAAGAATTGGAGAGGACTTCTGGTGTGGAGAGCAACGCTCTTACAGTTGATGGAGTTCCTGTTGATTCTTATCTCACCAGGTATATATGGTTTTACATCTCACAAGGAGTTAATTGTTATTAGACTGTGATCAGATTCGGTAAAGAGCCAAACTTTTTTCTTTGTTGATTGGTCTCAAGGTTTGTGTGGGATGAAGCTAAGTACCCAACAATGTCACCCCTAAAGGAGGTTGTGGACAATATTCAGTCTCAGGTTGCAAAGATTGAGGATGATCTCAAGGTATTGCAGCTTAAACCTTTAGTTTTATCCAGTCAAGGGAGCTTAAACCTTTTAGCAGGGAAGCTAGTCGAATGAGTCTGTTTGTATAAAAAATTGTTGCTTTGCTTTGGTTCAAATGGTGGTGTTAACGACTCTAATTGCACGTATTGTTCAGGTTCGTGTTGCTGAATATAATAATATCCGCGGTCAACTCAATGCCATTAACCGAAAGCAAAGTGGAAGGTAACTTTTTGTATTCCCCTCATATTTATACTAAGAACAAACTTTCTAGAATTGTGGGCAGTTTTGCAAAAAAGAAAAATAGTACTTTGTTATATCTAAACTTTGCTTGAAACATGTCCTACCACGTGAACGTTATTAGAATAGTACTAAGTAATCTACAGGATAATGTTGTTGGTATTTATCGTTATCTCAGCATTTTTTGTATCTTTGTGGCATCGCGGTTGATTTTCCTCCGTCTTGTTTCAGCTTAGCTGTTCGTGACCTCTCAGACTTGGTTAAGCCAGAAGATATTGTCGCATCAGAACATCTTGTGACTCTCCTCGCAGTTGTTCCCAAGTATTCCCAAAAAGAATGGAAAGAAAATTATGAGACATTTACCGAATATGTGGTAAACTGCTACTTGTTGGGTTTATGGAATAGACCAATTGTAACACTATTAGTTTGTGTCACAGTGATTTTAATCAATTTATCCTAACTGTTTTCAGGTTCCTAGGTCCTCAAAGCATTTGTTTGAGGATAATGAGTATGCTCTTTACACCGTTGTTCTCTTTACGCGTGTCGCAGATAATTTCAGGACTACTGCTCGTGAGAAAGGATTCCAAGTGAGTATTCCGTTCAAGTTCCTGATATTACCTTTAGAGCTTTCGTAGAATTTAGAATTGGATTATTTGCTAGTAGTAGTGATATTTCCGACAAAGTGATTTTATTCATTGTGTAAATTAAAACCTTTGGTTGATTCTCAACGCTTTATTCATCATATATTGTACACCATCCTCTTTTAGGTCCGTGATTTTGAACATAGCGTTGAAGCACAAGAGACTCGTAAACAAGAGCTAGAAAAATTGGGTCAGGATCAAGAAAGTTTGAGAAGCTCTCTTTTGCAGTGGTGCTACACCAGTTATGGAGAGGTATCTACACATTTCTCTATATAGCTATACTCTTGTAATATCTATACCCGAATCTGTGTTGATCATTGGTCTATATATGTAGGTTTTCAGCTCCTGGATGCATTTCTGTGCTGTGCGTATATTTGCTGAGAGTATTATGAGATATGGTTTACCTCCGGCATTCTTGGTAAATTAGGACTCCAAGCTATGCTATTCTCGAGAATCCCTCAACCCTTTCAACTCCCTGACTAAATTACTTTTTCTTGTCATGAGTTATTTTCCAGGCATGTGTCTTATCTCCGGCTGTGAAAAGTGAAAAGAAAGTACGCTCCATTCTTGAACGCATGTGTGATTCGACCAACAGGTATGTGAAAATTTTCTGCCTCCATCTGTCTTAGGATACATGGGAGCTGTTTAACATTCAACTTTTTGTTGATCCCGCAAAGAAAATTGTAGTGATAGTTAGACCTTAATAAGGAAAGAACTTGCAGAATTTTGAGGAGAAAACCGAGAACCAAGTAAAGTCAAACTTGAATTTGGTTGATATGAAATCGAACCTTACCGATTCCGCCCTTCTTACTGCAATCTTGAGGCCAAATGTAGTAATCAGATCTAGGTCGCTCAAGTTGAAATAGACCAATTGCTCAAAAAATCTAAGGGTGGATTCATATATATAAGTAGTGTAGTTCTATGAGATTTCGATTTGAGTTTTTGAGTCTTATAGCATGAAAACATTGCAGTTTATACTGGAAAAGCGAGGAGGATGGAGCAGCCATGGCTGGTTTAGCCGGTGACTCAGAGACACATCCTTATGTCTCCTTCACTATCAACCTTGCTTAAACTTGATGAGAGATGCTTTTGATGCCTTTCCTCGTCTCTGTCATCATCTGTTAATTTGTTTGTGTTCTATAGATTTTACATTTATTTTTCGTAATATATTTTGAGTTTCAAAATAAGGTGGCACTCGAGAGAAGATGTTGCTGTAATTTTATTTGGCCGGAGTCCTTTAGATTCCGGCGAGTTTCAGACACATGTGGAAGACAAACGGCTATACGCCTTCTTGTCATTTTGTGAACTGGTTGATTTATTTATATCACTCTGTTCCGTATTTGTCTCTTTGTTATGGTCTGAAAAATATTATTGGCTTTTATTGGTATTTTCCGAAAATTATGTCGGAATGTTCTTGGAGTAGTAAACTGGTAACATTTGAGGCTGAGTAAACCCATAAATCTGGCAACTTTGCACCAAACTTTGACATTTTTATTGCTTGAGGTTTAAAATCTCTATTTACTCTCACAATATTTTAAGCCACTTTTATACTATCAATCAGAGTATTATTCAACAACTAGCTAGCGATTTGGAAACTACACTCGTATTGTATTTTCATATAAAATAAAAGACAGGCGTACACTTACGTATAACAGTAACAACGTAGTATATATGTTGAAGTTCATGAGATTAAAAACAAAAAAGACTCGGAAGCAAGCACAATCAAGATTTACACGTACATTAATTATGAAGAAACCTAACAAGCATTGATAAGTCAGCACATAGGAAACTACAGATCCCAACAATGACCAGAACCAACAAAATATCAGGACGGAGCCTCATTGAGCTGCCTGCAATCTTCCCATTAAGCCGGCCTGAGCTTGGACCAGGCGCGTCTGGTTCTGAAACAGGAGAGGTCGCTGTATCGACTGGCCAGTCTTTGGTCGGAGAAGGGAAAAACGAAGACATATCTGGTGCATTGATATACGGTAAAACAGCAGGAGAAGCTGAGATTGTGGATTCACTGCAAACAAGAGTCCATTGAACGGACACAAGGATCATGAGAAACGCGGAAACTGAGAAGCTAGAAAACAGAGCCATGGGTGTTTCTTTTTTTCTTCTGTGTTCTGCACAAGAAAGATTTTTTACCAAGTAAATATAAATAATAGAACAGAGAAGAAGACAGATTCTTTTGTTCCCATGTGTGTATGTGCGTGTCTTACTAAGAAACAAAGAATTGAAATGAATGTGTTCACGGACCAAAGTATGGGTCCTTAACTGTTTCACATGCATATTTTTTGGTTTCTTCCTCCTAAGTCATGTGATTTCATTTACCTCTTTTTCTTATCACTTCCACCACCTAAGGGTTAATAGTAAGTAGAAAACTTTCTGAGGTTTGAAGATTTATCTAAGAAGCACAATTCTGAAGTAAATGACAAGCGGTGGACTCTTCAGCAACTTACAGATATCGATGATACGGCAATGAGTTTTGCATCGATCAGAATTCAGAAATACTGATGATCCAGAACTTTAAGATTCTTTTTTTTTTTAATGTGATTGTAAGTATAAGAATTACATAAGATTCCTTTAAGCTTGCAAATAGAAAGAATCAGACAGAACAAGTAAGCCAAACATCAAAATTAATGAATCTTTAGCTTTGCTTTTTCAAAACAAACATACAAGAGGCTCGAGGTGGTAGCTTGTAATCTGCAAGCTTGTTGATGATCTTCTTCTGCAGACTCAAATAGCTTGTGAAGGTCTTCGAATAATTTACCAGCTCGCTGTTTGTTCGAGCTTTTAGAGAGTAAAAGAATTTTGATGATGATGATGCTACAAAAGTCTAAGATGAGCGGTGTCATTTAACCGCTTTACCTGCCAACCGGTTTTCCACGAATGTTGTAACACGGTCACAGAGGAATCCTCCACACAGATCTTATGTGTCATTACCGGGCTGCATCCGAGTATACCAGTTAAAAGACACTTTATAGGTAAAGAGTGTGAGAAAACTCCAATGCAGGGTGAGTGTTGAGAAGAGGGACTCTTGATGTTTATATGGCCTAGGTGTTGTTCATCATTGTGATGATTAAAAATCTCTTCATTTGACTCGTGATCACCGGTTGTATTCATCACCTGAAACCTGCTCTTACCAGATTTCTTCCTTGTAAGGCTTGGACGATGAATAGAGGTGGCTAAAGAGAAACCTCGGGAATGGTTGTGATGTGTTGTAGATGAAAGATGTTCAGACCTGAGCTTCTCTGAAAGTCCTGACACTAACCCATTCAGAAAACGAACCATTCGAAACTCTACTTGTCTGAGTGATTCACCGGATGGAGCTGAGAAATCAGGTTGACATCTTTCTATTAAGCTTAGAGTTTCAGGTGTGTAGATCTCTGATCTATGGATTCCTTCCCAGTCTCCAAAACTCATCTCGGCAATGGCATCTGAAGACTGTACATGCTCCTCCGGAAAATTCATTTCCTGCATGAAGCACCAAGGCAGCGTTTCAATCCACATATCATTTACAAACTAAACCACATTTCTTCTGACAAGCATCCAAACAAGTTTCATCGGAGTAGTAAGAGATTCTTACTATATGTAATCCTTACTCAACCACGAGCAACGCAATAGATTCTAAAAGTTGTACAGTGTTTACAAGATTATAGAATGATCCAAGTTGGTTTCGTTTCATGAGCTTCCTATTATAGCAACACTCAATAATATTGCTGCAGAATCGGGTTCCAATTTCACAGCTTTTAGATTGTAGAATTGAGAAATCGAAGACTAGTAGATACAGTACCTGGCAAACGGAAACAGCCATGGATCTAGCTCGATCCAGGGGAGAGGAGAAGACGGAGGTGAATCGAACACCTTCGGAGTTTAAGAAGACGGCGAGAGCTCTCGCCTGACGTTTTCCGTTAGGGGTGAGAGTGGCGACGTGGCACCTACCTCCAATAAGATCAGGCCTGAGATTGAGATCACACTCTCCGTGGCTGATGAAATAGACTTGGGTTACGGCGGAGCGATCGTGAGAGAAGAGAGGTGGGGCGAGGACGTTGTAAGGGTCCCAGACTTTGATGGAAGGTCCGATTCGAGGCGTTCCAAGAGAAGAGAGCTGAGGAGAGAGTGGAGAAGCAGAGGCGTGACAAGGAAGCATCTCAGGCTCTTGCTCGAGAACCTTCTTGACCAGGAGATTATCCAGCTCGGTTCTTCTGTTGTTCAATACGCCATTAACATCTTCCTCTTCTTCTTCTTCACCTTCGCTCTCTGCTTCTTCATTGAGTATCTGCGTAGACTGTGACGACCCCATCGTCTTTGTCTGACTGCTCGGAAAATGCAGTCTCGAGCTTAAGATCTGATGATGTGTGAATATTGATGATGTTGATGGATGCGAAACCTCCAACTCACTTGGAGGGTTAGAACTTAGAAGACACAGGTAAGTTACTAAAATGACTTGTTTGGACTTTTAAGCCCATTAGGCCCAGCCAACCCCACTGCTCAGTATCCTTTTTATTGAAAATATTAGAATTTTTAAATTAGCCAATTCATCTAATATATTATAACATGTTGGAGCTGAAAATTTAGTTTTAAAGTTTTCCTCATATATTTGAGATTAGAATTTCCGCAACTTCTTTTCTAATTGATAAAAACTTAGCTAAAGCAGTTTTGGTTTGTATTGTATAGGTCTATTTCTAAATTTATCTTCCTATGTAGAGTTATTATCTCTAGCGATTTTAATATGTGATTTATTTCTTCTCCTAATAAAAAAAAGGAAAAGAATTTTGCGGCCAAACGTGTATAAAAAGAGATACAGGGTAGAGACAATTCATTCGTATCAAACGATGGCATCATCATCACAAAGAAAGAGAAGAAGAGGAAACGGGAAGCGAGTGATTGCATCATCATCATCTAAAAGAAAGAGAAGAAGAGGAAACGAGAAGCCAGTGTTTGCACCATCATATCTACCAAACGACGTTGTAGAGGAAATTTTCTTACGACTTCCGGTGCAAGCCATCATCCAACTCAAGTGTCTCTCAAAACAATGGAGGTCGACGATCGAGTCACGCAGTTTTGAAGAGAGACACTTGAAGATCGCCAAGCAAGCCTGCGTGGATCATCCCATGGTCATGGCCATCTCCGAAGAATATCCCTTCAAAGGGAGTAAAGGTACTCTGGCTCGTCCAGACACCGACATCGGCTTTCGTACTGTCTGTTTGGAATCGGCTTCTATTTTGTCCTCCACTCTTATCAATTTCCCTCAAGGATTTCATCACTGGATCTATGCTTCCGAATGCTGCGATGGACTTTTCTGTATCCATTCCATGAAAACACAAGCCATTTATGTAGTTAATCCGGCCACACGGTGGCTCCGACAACTTCCTCCCGCCGGGTTTCAGATTTCGATGCACAAGTTAATATCCCCTCCACAATTTTCGAGTGACATAAAATCAATATTTTACATAACATTCGTTAAGGCCACTGATTATAAATTAGTGTGGATGTATACTCCTTACACGAATGACTCTGATGCCTCGGGTCCAAACGAGAAGTGCGAGGTCTTTGATTTTAGGGCAAACACTTGGAGGTCCTTAACTTGCATTCCAAGTTATCAGATATTCTATGACCAAACGCCAACAACTGCAAACGGGTCTATTTACTGGTTTACAGAACCATATAATGGCGAAATCAAAGTGGTAGCTCTCGATATTCACACTGAAAAGTTTCGGGTGCTACCTAAGATTAACCCAGCTATTGCTAGTTCAGATCCTAAACATATCGACATGTGCACTCTAGATAATGGTTTGTGCATGTCGAAAAGAGAAGGAGAGACTATGATCCAAAATATTTGGAAGTTGAAATCATCAGAAGACTCATGGGAAAAAATTTACACCATAGATTTGCTTTCTTGTTCTTCATCTTTATCTGTGTTTAGTGATGGATTTAATTGGGCCCAAAAGGACTTGGCTGTGCCATCCACACCGCTGGCGATATGCAAGAACAAGAAGATCCTACTCTCACATCGCTATGCCCACACTCTGATCAAATACGATCCCCAAACAAAATCTCTCCATTTATTTCTCAAATGTCCTCGGTATAGAAGATTTGTTTCTTATTTTCCGAGTTTGATCTCTCATATATAATAAAATGCAGTAGTTAAATTGATGCTCTCCTCGTCTTTTTCTTCATATGTTATATTTTGTTTGTAATATATTTTAGTATTCAACATAAGGTGACACTCGAGAGAAGATGCTGCTGTAATTTTATTTTTCGTGAATCCAGAAAAAAAGAAAGAGGAGAGTTGTAACTACAAGAATTTAATCTGATTTGTAAGAATTAAAAGCATGCAGTAAAATTTTGAGGTACACCCAATGGAAAATTCTTATTGTTATTTTTAAATAATGTGTGGATGTAAAGGAAGATGAAATATACAGATTTTTCTCTTCTTGAAGGGACCATCGCCTCGTTGTTTTAAAAACAGGGACCATTGCATCCGACATCTTTTATCCGTATTATATACTATTTAATCTTGAAATATTTATTCAAAGATAACTCTTTTTATTCATGTTAAAATCCAATATAAATATATTAATAATTAGCCTACTACATTTAATATTACACACATCACAAAGTTTTGAGACATTTATAAATTTCTTTAGTTCTTTTTTTTTTTTTTTTTTTTTGTTTGTCGACAAAATTTCTTTAGTTCAGAGTCCCTTTATTAGTTATAGAAAAATAACTACAAAAATTTCTTATAAAAAAAGGGACCATTCCGTTTTCAATGGTAACCAAATTACAGATTCTTTTGTTTGTTTTTCAACCAATAAGGCAATAATACACTTTTGTCCAAGAAAACAAAAAAAGGCAATAATACACTTTAATTTTTGATAAAAATCGTAATGTTTTATTTTATAATACAAACTAACGGTCGGAATTAGTTTTGCTAATCATCGTCCAAAGCTTTTTTTGACACACTCTCTGACTGAAATAATTCTGGAAACAAGAAAAAAAAAAAAAGTCAGAGAAGAAAGAGGTGGCAAAGATGAAGTGGATGTAATAAGAGACGGAAAGCTAAACATAGTCACGAGAATCAACACCCAACTCTTTAAACAGAGATAGAAGAACAAGAAAGAGAGTTAAAACAATGGTTGCCTTCACCAAAACTGAAATCCCCACAAACCAAAAAAAATCTAAACTTTTAAAGGGGTTTTGAGCTTTGAACTCTCTCTTTCTTCTTAGATTTTTTTTTTCTTCTTCTTCTCCTTCATAAGATCCTCGTGATTCCACTTTATAACGCCTCCTTTTTTGTAAATCTCTCTATAAACTCCGTTTCTCTCGCCTTGTCTCCTTTTGAGGTTTCATTTCAAACTTCCTCTCCAAAATTCTAAAACTTTTTTCCCATGAACGGCGACGGCGTTTGGCTTGACGGCGGCGGAGAAAGATCTCCGGAGGTTGATAACGGCGAAGCTGCGTCGTGGGTCAGAAACCCAGATGAAGACTGGTTCAGTAACCCAACACCATCACAACATCTACAAGATTCTCAAATCCTCCACAGTAGTAATAATAACCAAAGTGACTTCAGATTCAGTGGTGGCTTTCCTTTAAACCCGTCTGAGAATCTGCTTCTTCTTCTTCAGCAATCGATTGATTCTTCTTCTTCTTCTGCTCCGTTGCATCCTTTCACACTCGACGCTGCTTCACAGCAACTGCGACAACAACAGGAACAGTCTTTCTTAGCTACAAAAGCTTGTATCGCTTCTCTTCTCAGTGTCCCAACAAGCAGCAACAACAACGCTTTTGATGAATTTGGCTTCGATTCTGGTTTCTTAGGACAACAGTTCCATGGAAACCAAACTCCAAACTCGATGAGTTTCGCTGGATTGAGCCACCCTGGGCCGGACTTTCTCACTTCCCGGTCGATCCCGGCGCCGGAAAACAGCAGCGGATCTTGTGGACTGAGTCCTCTGTTCGAGAACAGAGCAAAAGTTCTGAAACCGTTAGAGGTGTTGGCTTCATCCGGCTCGCAGCCAACGTTGTTCCAGAAACGAGCTGCGATGCGTCAGAGCTCGAGTAGCAAAATGTGCAACTCAGAGAGTTCTTCTGAAATGAGGAAGTCGAGCTACGAGAGAGAGATCGACGATACTAGTACCGGAATCATTGATATCTCTGGATTAAATTACGAATCTGATGAGCATAATAATAATAAAGGTAAGAAGAAAGGCATGCCTGCTAAGAATCTAATGGCTGAGAGAAGAAGAAGGAAGAAGCTTAACGATAGGCTTTACATGCTTAGATCAGTTGTTCCCAATATCAGCAAAGTAAGAAAAGTTTCTTCCTTTTCCTCTCCTTAAGATCTTCTATAGACTCTTGTGTCCTTAATTTTGGGTACTTGTGGCTTTAAATGCAGATGGATAGAGCATCAATACTTGGAGATGCCATTGATTATCTTAAAGAGCTCTTACAAAGAATAAATGATCTTCATACTGAACTCGAATCTACTCCACCGAGTTCTTCAAGCTTGCATCCGTTAACACCAACTCCACAAACGCTGTCTTACCGTGTCAAGGAAGAGTTGTGCCCATCTTCCTCCTTGCCAAGCCCTAAAGGCCAACAACCAAGAGTAAGAATAAACTCAAAAAGCTTTTTATTGGGCAAACCAGATTCTGTAATTTGCTTGGTAAGGAGTCTTTGTTTTGATATACTTTTGGTTTGTTTCTCAGGTTGAGGTTAGATTAAGGGAAGGGAAGGCAGTGAACATTCACATGTTCTGTGGTCGTAGACCTGGTCTTTTGCTTTCCACCATGAGAGCTTTGGATAACTTAGGATTGGATGTTCAACAAGCAGTGATTAGCTGTTTCAACGGTTTTGCTTTGGATGTTTTCCGCGCTGAGGTGATATAGTAGTTAGATGCTATAATGATCATGGATTAGTAATCTAGCATTCAAAGAATAGTTATTTTGAGAGAATGGTTAGTATACAGTGGTAATAACATGTCTTGTTTCCTTTGAATCAGCAATGCCAAGAAGACCATGAAGTGTTGCCTGAACAAATCAAAGCAGTGCTTTTAGACACAGCAGGTTACGCTGGTTTGGTTTGATTTGAATGCGAGAAAGAAGGAAGCAGCTGCGTAGTAGAGCAGAGCTAGATCTAAGCCTAGTCAGCAATTTTCTTACTTAGTTTCATCAAATTTTAATCATGTATTTCAGATGATAACTGTTTTAATTTTAGCTTTGAAAACATGTGTTTGAGTACATAATTTCAACTTTTTGCCAAAATGCCATTGTTTCTCAATAATTCTGCTTAGCTTTTCATTTATGAGTTGATTTTTCACGGATATGGAAAACAATTTAGAACTGCAATGCATAAGCAAAAGCTCTGTTGTTTTAAAAAATAAATTAATAATAACAGAGATCAATCTTTGTGTAAATTCCATTTTCTCTGGAAAGGCCTGAGCTTAGACTCAATGTAGTCAAATACAAGCATAATGGAATCATGAGAAAATATAACTTTTTCATTGATAAAAGATTACAAGGATGGCTCTTTTACTTACATGCTTCCAGATACATCAAAAGATATGAATATGCATTTTATATATTAGATATCAAACTTTCAATATAAGGAACATGTTTTAAAACTTGACACTGATCAAGATGTCTGAAAACAGAACAGACGGTTTTTGTTTGGGGATCGTATTCTATCAGATTTCTAGCGTAAGAACATGAGAACAATATCTTCTTGTTATTGCGTATCGCCACCGGTTTCCAACCAATACAACTTCGAAAAGAAGGACCAACAAACAAATTTATGGTATAAACCTTCTCCCACATGTCTTCTGATGCTTTCAATCTCCAAATCTCGTTGAGTTTCGTATCGACCACCTTTGTCATGATGCACAAACTATTATCCAAATTGCACATGCAAATTTCCCTAGGGTTTGAAGTGGCAATAGCCGGATGAATCTTAGGCAACACCCGGAATGTTTCAGTGTGGATATCAAGAGCTATTACTTTGATTTCGCCATTATATGGTTCTGTGAACCAATAACTCAACCCGTCTACATATTCTGGACCTTGTTGATTACATATCAGATAACTTGGAGTGCAAGTTACGTACCTCCAAGCGTTTGCCCTAAAATCAAAAACTTCGCACTTGGTAAGTCCCTCGTTTGGACTCGAAGCATCCGAGTTATGCTTATCAGAGTTATACAACCACACTAATTTGTAATCAGTGCTAGCCTTCATGATTGCTATTGAAGGGACTAGTGTCATAAAAGAGTAAAGATCAGGTTCCCACGCTTCTAGATTGAGTATCCACTTGTGCATCAAAATCTGAATCCTAGCAGGAGGAAGCTGTCTAAACCACCGTGTGGCCGGATTAACTATATCTATAAACTGTGATTCAGGGGAATAGATGCAGAATAGGCCGTCACAATTGTTAGAAACGTAGAAATTGAAGTAGCGAGGATGGGACTTGGGAAGAGTAAACGATAGAAGTGGAGTGGAGTCTAAGGAGATAGTCTTAAAACAAATCGAACGACGCTCATCGTCTGATAAGAGGTATCCTGTGGACATGGCGATGACTTCTGAGTGTTCCATGTGGAATCGTTGGGGAGCCTTCAAGTGTCTCTCTGCAAAACTGCGAGACTGGATCGTCGATCTCCATTGTTTTGAGAGAGACTTGAGTCGCATTAGTGATTTCACAGGAAGTCTCATCAAGATTTCTTCGACAAGGTCGTTTGCTAGAGATGATGCTGATGCAATTGCTTCCATCGTTGCCAGAATATTTCTTCTTTTGATATACAATATGAACGAATGTGTTTTATATATATACAAGAACAAGCCATAAGTTTGTTTTTTTTGTTTAATATAAGTTTGGTTAATTTTATGGTTTTTAGTAATTTGTTCTTTCAAATTTTGACACCAAAAATAGTGATTTGATTTCAAGTTGAAAAAGGACAAAGTTATATAGATGATGAAATACAAAATTCGACCAGATTTTCTAATAAGTATTAATTATTAATTTTTGGCAGAAAACCTTACCTACTACTTTAAAAATGTTAGATAATTAAGCTATAATCTAATAAAATCTCTATATGTCCCTACCAAAAAAAAAAATCTCTATATGTCACATATATTACTTATTATTATATCTTTTTTTTTGGCAGCATCTCTAATTATTATTTTATTTAATATATCTTTAATTTACTATTACTAACAAAATATTAAGGTATTAAATATTACAATTTATTACCAGCTAATACGCTTCTTTACATGTACTTTTAATTATGTTTTCCAAAATTGAATAATTATTACAGTATTTGTTTCTAATAAACTCCTTGATACCTTTTTAATGTAAAAACAAAACTCTACGTACTTTTTTTTTGTGTGTGCACCTCATGTCTACTTACTTAAAATAAATAATTACAGGGTAGTGACTAGTGTCTAGTGTCTTTGGATTAAGTAATCTTCAGCTTAGGTGGAGTAAACGAAAAGAGTAATGAGAAATCATAATTTATGAGCAAAGCTCTTCTTGATGTATTTGCAACATCTAAAAATATCTGATGGAGAATGGAGGTGATGATCCAACATATATGTTACCAACTTAATGTCATTGACTTTCTCAAATGCGCTCAAGAAGAGCAGTTGCAAGACAAAAAAAGTTGAATAATCTTTTATTTTGATTTAAAGATGAGAGATCAAGCTTGGAAAATAAGGAACAGATCTTACGATACACAAAATATTTTTGAAAAGTGAGCGGAGACGTTCTGTTTCGGGATTTACCAAATTGCGGGTATAGCGATGTGAGAGCATGATCTTCTTGTTCTTGTATATCGCCATGGGTGTGGATGGCTCAACCAAATCCTTTTGGATCGGACTAAGTATGTCGACAAAATTGTAATGAAAATTATGAGAAGAAAGTAGATTTACGGTATAAATCTGTTCCCATGCGTCTTCCGATGATTTCAACCGCCAAATTTTTTGGATGTTATCGCTCTCTTTTGTCTCATACATGCACAAACTATTATCCAGCGTGCACATGTCAATATGGCATGGATCTGAACAAGCAAAAGAGCTAGGCTTAGGTAGCAACCGAAATGTTTCGGTATGAATATCAAAAGCTATTACTTTGATTTCAGCATTATTATAAGGTTCCGTGAACCAATAAAGCGACCTGTTTGCAGATGCTGGCTTTTGATCATGAAAAATTCGATAACTTGGAGTGCAAGACAAGTATCTCCAAGTGTTTGTCTTAAAATCGAAAACCTCGCACTTGGTAGCTCCCTCGTTAGGACTCGCGCCATCAGCATTAATGTGTTTATCTGAATTATATAACCACACCAGCTTGTAATCAGAGCCTTTCACGAATGCTAGATGATAGACTGATTTCATGTCGTCTCCCCAAGTATCTAGAGCAGTGGGGTTTGACTTGTCCATTAAAATCTGAAACCTAGCCGGAGGAAGTTGTCGGAACCATCGTGTTGCCGGATTAACCACATATATGTCAAGTGTTTTTGGGGAATAGACGCAGAAAAGCCCGTCACAGCTTTCAGAAGCGCAGCTGGCGGCATCTTGGAATGGGTGAGGGAACTTGAAAAGATTAGAGGGTAAGAACTCAACAGATTCCAAAGAGACGCTCCTAAAAGTAATAATCTTGTTGTCTGGATTCCAAGTGATGATCATGATATGTGGATGATCCACGTGTGATCGCTCGGAGATCTTCAAGTGCATCTGTGAGAAACAGTGAGACTCGATCGTTGATCTCCATTGTTTTGAGAGACACTTAAGTCTCATTAGGGCATTCACGGGAAGTTTTAAGAAGATTTCCTCAACGACATTGTCTGGTAGTGGTGATGACAACGATGCAATATTCAGTACTAACTTCTTGTTTCCTCTCTTACCTTGTGATGATGATGATGATGATGATGATGATGATGATACAAGCGCTTGCCTTCCTTCTTCCATGACAAAATCTGAGTGTTTCTTCTTGTTGTTGATACGAAGTGATTGGTACGTTTCAGCGATATGCTAGCTTCTCTTTTATACTCTCTCTCGCAAGTTCTAATCGATAAAGGATTTAACCGATTAGGAAAAGGAATTATAATGTCTATCCCACCAAAATTTTAAATCAAAATAATAAAAACGAAAAAAGAAAAGAAAAGAAGAATAGCTACTTTAATTTCGACTAGGAGAGTAGTAATATTCAATCTTGGTTTATATTATTCTTTAGTAATGTTTATTTTTATTTCTGCAACGAAGTATTTTCTAAAATTATATTATATACTCCATGATTGTTCCTATCTGTTATTCTCAGCTAGACAAACCAAAAAAAAAACTATTCCAATTCGGATTTCAACTGTCTTCTATTAAAACACGTCTCAAGATAAGTTTTTTTGTTGTTGTGTAGAAACAATAATGGAATAGTTCTCTTAAGTGGAGAATAATACTCAAAGAGATATACAGTAAAAAAAAAGTCAAATACAGAATCAGATCCTTTTAGAGTGAGTTTCTTCGAATTTGTGTGCGTTTTATGGTTGAGCACAAGTTTTTTTTTTTTAATATAAGTTTTAAATTTTATTTAATTAATTTCGAAGATGATTAAATAGAGAGATAGGTGATGGTTTAGAAAGCAATGAATGCTCTCTCGTTGGTCCAAACTCCTCATTCTCCTCCGCAAAAATAGGAAGAAACTAAACGATCATTTTTTTAATTTTTTTTGGTGAGCTTCAAGATTCTCTCTTTCTCTCGTGGATTCGGTAATTCTGGGGAAAGTTTTGTTCTTTTGGGAAGAAGAAGATGGACTCGTCATGAAAGCTATATGATCATAATGTTTCTTCTTACTAACTACAATATACAACAAGAACAGGGCTTTTCAAGAACGTAGCAGATACAGACAGAGAAAAAGCATTCTCTCTGTTTCTTTCTCAATCCCCTTTTTAATTGTCGTGTCCGCAGATTCGTCAATGTCGGTTCTTTCTTCTCGTACAGGACGAGATCGTCAACGTTACGACAACAACTTCCGTCTCGTTTCAGGGTACCCACCAACCTTCAAATAAAATAGCTATTAAAATGTTTCTTCTTGAATTCCAAATTTTCCATTCTTGAAAAATTTCAAGAGACCCTTATATCAGAAAGAAAAAAACAGAATTGTTGATTATGTTATTTGTTCCTCTTAACACATTTATCAACAGATGCATTCCGTATAGGCTGATTAAAGCTGACGAAACTGAAGAAGACTCAAGTGTTGACTTTGTTAACAAACTTGAAGTTCTTATGGTTTCATCTCCTAATCGTCATGATCTTGTCTTCCCAAAGGTTTCTTTTTCATTTGAGCATCTCTTTCTTTACTGTCATTTTGCAGTTGTCCATTTTTGTGTGTGTTATTATTATCAGGGAGGATGGGAAGATGATGAGACTGTTCTTGAAGCTGCTTCTCGTGAAGCCATGGAAGAAGCAGGAGTTAAAGGAACACTTAGAGTAAGATTCCAACTTCTTAAACCAGATATTAAGAAAGCTATGTTAAATAGTTGTTTGAATTATATGTGTTTTTGGTCGTGATGTTTTGGTTTATAGGAAGATCCTTTAGGAGTTTGGGAATTTAGAAGCAAAAGTAGCACAGTGGAGGATGAATGTTTAGGTTGTTGCAAAGGATATATGTTTGCATTAGAGGTTACCGAAGAACTCGAGGATTGGCCAGAGCGAGAGAATCGCGATAGGAAATGGGTACAAGCTCTAAACTCAAATCTCAAATATGTTGTTAGTTGGTCATGTAAGGAAGTACAATGTTTTAATGAAGGAAGGTCTTTTTATTCTCTTATAACTTTGAGATTACTCGAAAATGTGCAGCTGAATGTTAAAGAAGCATTGGAGCTGTGTCGGTATGAGTGGATGCAAAGGGCACTTGAAGAGTTCCTAAGAGTTATGGGAGAAGAAGGAAGATTGAGAACAGAGGAAGAGTCAGTGCAGGATTCTTCAAAGTTAGAGGAGTGTCAAATAGATCCTTGGTACTGTTTTGTAGTTAATTAGTTTTTTTTCATCTTCTTTAGCTATTTTGGATTCAAATGAATAGCTTACTCTACTGATGTAAACAAGTTGAAACATGAGAGGCAAATTGAATTCAGACACATGTGATATATTTCAAACTTGTCTTGAACTTTGATATCTTTGTCTGTTTTAAGTGATCAAGATGGAATTGTCTTCATATGCAATTTCGACACCAAGTGCAAGAAGACAAAATGACACAGAATAAAAATTAACTAATCACACACAGATCAATGCTTAAGGATTGACTTCAAATCAACTGACTCAGCCTTTAAATCCAAATCCCTAAGCTTATGTCACATGTTCTCCTATTGAAAGATTTAGTTAGGCTTCTTGACATTTGTACAGTTTTTGTCTGAGTCTAAAATGACAATGTCCTTGTCACCCACTTGGCTTGGCTCCATACAGTTCTCAAGGGTTTGCCTTTTTCTTTGCTTGGATGCAATGTAATGACATAAAGATGACTAATCTCAGAGACCATGTAGCTAAAGTGTGGAAAATATTAAGTAAAAGGACAAAAATGGAGAAAATATGAGACACTTTCTTGTTTCTGCTGACACGGTTTACGAAGGAGAATAAGACTTTGGAGATAAATTTTTTAACTCCCAACTAATTCCTTTAATTTAATGCCAAAACCAAAAAGGCATCAATCAAGTTCACACACTCTTTTGCTCTTCTTTCGCAGTTTATAGTTTATATAGCAGAGCCTTAAGGACCCTCAAATAGACTTAGAGAAAGAGAGGCATTGATCTCTGAATGTTGTGAACATGCTGAAATCAAGAAACAAGAGCAAAAGCAAACAAGAGAAGAAGTCACAAGAAGGCAAGTACCTTGGAGTGAGGAGACGTCCATGGGGAAGATATGCAGCTGAAATCAGAAACCCGTTTACAAAAGAAAGACATTGGCTTGGAACGTTTGATACAGCCGAAGAAGCTGCTTTAGCATATGATGTTGCTGCTCGATCCATCAGTGGCTCTTTAGCTAAAACCAACTTCTTCTACACGGATAACATAACTTCACAAAGACAACCACAGAAGTTGGTACAGTCATCATCAGACAAAGATTTTGTTAATCCCACCATTGTGTCTTTTGGACCTGACATGAGTTTGGGTTCTTCTAGTTCCCGTATTCTTCAAGATCAGCCACCGGAAAACCACCGTTTTGTTCCTGCTCCTATCTCTTCTTGTTTGCAAGAACAACAGTTTTTGGCTAATCACATTAACAGTGTCCCACATTGTTATGATAATGACCTTGTTGTTCAGAGCAAAGAGATTTCCTTACCTTCTTTTCCCAATGATATGTCAAGCAGCTTATTTGGTTACCACGACAACACTGGTGAACAGGGAGATGCAGAACATATGAAGATAGGTTCGGTTCTCAGCAATTATTCTCATTGCTTTGAGTATGACTACAGTGAAAATAATCTTCAGAGTTTTCTCAAAGATGACAATGAAGATCCTATTCAGATGATCGGAACTTCTTCTTCTTTCATCTGATTTAGCTATACCACCTTTAAATCTTTTTTACATTGTTGACTCTTTTGCTTCTCTTGTAAGCTGTTTAAGCAGTTTCAATACCAATCCTCCTCTTATGTAACATAAAAACTATTTTATCTTTGTTTATTGTCAAATGCATTCCTAAACCAGAGTTATGAATCAAGCAGAGGGTGCAAAATGTTTGAATCCAGTTCATTACTATAAATTATAGTTTGAATCAACTCAGGAACTACAATTATACATTCCGAATCATATAACAGTAAAAAAATAATGGAGCAGACATTAAAAGTTGAGTCTTCTTCACTTCCAGTTATTGGCAACAATGTCAGCCAAATCAACGACTCTCTGCGAGTAACCCCACTCATTATCATACCAAGCAATCACTTTAACCATATCATCTCCCATAACCATTGTGAGAGAAGAATCAATAGTGGAGGATACATCAGAGCACCTGAAGTCAACAGAGACAAGAGGCTCATCACAGACGTCTAGGATACCTTTGAGCTCTTTCTCAGCTGCGTCTCTGAAAGCAGCATTGACTTCTTCAGCAAACGTCTTCTTTGAGACCTGCACGACTAAGTCAACCACTGAGACGTTTGGAGTTGGCACACGCAATGCGATCCCGTTAAGCTTTCCTTTGAGATTAGGGAGCACAAGAGCCACGGCTTTGGCTGCTCCTGTAGATGTTGGAACAATGTTCAAAGCTGCTGCTCTTGCTCTCCTTAGATCACGATGGCTTGCATCTAACAACCTTTGGTCACCAGTGTATGAGTGAGTAGTTGTCATTGTACCCTTTATGATCCCTACCAAGTTTAACACAACACAAAATTGCTCAGCTTTTTACAAGACTGCAACAAAACAGTTCAACTTTCTTGTAATCCTTTTCCATTTTGCAAGATGCTTACCAAATTTCTGGTCAAGAACCTTGACGAATGGAGCGAGACAATTAGTTGTACAAGACGCATTGCTGATGATTGTATCTGCATGGCTGTAAAGTTCAGCATTGACACCAACGACATAAGTTGGGATATCACCCTTTCCAGGTGCAGTGATTAGAACCTTCTTAGCTCCAGCCTGAAGGTGCTTTCCAGCTCCGTCTCTGTCAACAAACACTCCGGTTCCTTCGATGACCAAGTCAATGCCTAATTCCCTAAACATCATCATCAAATTTTCAAAAACATTCAGAATAAGATTTAGCCAGGTTGATCAATTTGAAAGATAAGGGAGGTGTTATTTTAACTTACCCCCAGGGGAGATTAGATGGGTTACGATCAGATACAATCTTGATGATCTTTCCATCAACAGAGAGAGCAGCATCTCCAGAAGGTTTGACATCAGCATCGAAGATTCCAAGAGTTGAGTCGTATTTGAGCAGATGTGTTGCTTGTTTAACACCACCAGTGTCGTTAATTGCAACAACATCAAGAGGAGAGTCCTTACGACCATGCCAACACCTCAAGAAGTTCCTACCAATCCTACCGAACCCATTGATTGCTACCTTTATCTTGGCCTCGGTCACCCCTTTCCTGTATCCACCATTGCTTCCCATCTACAGTACACAGAAAGAAAACAAATGTACATGGTTCACAAAACCTCAAATAAAGGCGCAGTCATGGCTGATCATGGCATGCAGGCTTGTTCAAAGATAGATAAATCTACAATGGTGAAGGCATTAAACACAAGAAACAGCTCTGAGTTTACAAGATTGCACCATAAGGTATAGAACACAGAAGCAATAAAGAGGAATGGAGAAAGAAAGGAACTCACAGAAGAAGTCTGGAAACTAACGAAAGAAACAAACTCATCGGAAGAAGACTTCTTGGCAAATGGAAGAGCAGAGGAGTTTCGAAGTCCTGAGAACTCAGAGAAACCCTGAAAAGCAAATCATGAGAGTATTAGATGATGATCAAACTTGTGAAGAGATAATGAGGTGATCAAAAATGAAATAAAACCTGAAGAGATGGTTTGGCCACAGAGAAAGTAGCCGAAGCCATGCCTACCAGAGAGAAGCTGTGTATAATGTAGCAGACAGAGACAGAAGTAATGTGAAGCAGTGAGTGGTAATATAGGAAAATAGAATTGCTGAGTTGGAGGCAAAGAAGATGAGATTCTGGATAGCTTTGTCATACATTTGTATGGTTGTTGTTTATCACTCTCTTGCCTCTTCACGTTTTCTATGATTCATATGTTTGCTTCTCACTTGGGCTTAACAAGTGGATGGGCTTCTCCATCATGTGGTCACATTTGCACAGGATTTGATCTAATGACTCGACATACCATCTTAGGACCATTGAAAAGTCAACAAGATTTTCTGACATCTCTTCTCTGCAGATGAAAATCACATACACGTTAAGAACGAGTTGTAGTACATAGAGCTAATATAAACAAAAAACTTCATATAATCTGAAGCTTACAAGATTATACCTAATTTCTTTGTAATCTCAAAGAGAGATCAGAGATGTGTCACCATTTATATATTAATATCAGAACCAGATCACTTATATTACATAGACTCAGTTAAAGTCACTGACATCAGGAGAAAGAAACCAGACTTGAATTCCTCCCACAATTCTCCTTTAGATTTTTCAGTCTCCCAAATTTAGGCGCTGCATCGACCCGATCACCACCAGTATGAATCTATAATACAACGATCCCATACTTGAAATATTGAAATGTATAGACTTGACAATCACAACACTGGAACTGAGGTTAATGTTTTATGCTACGAAAGTACCAATATTTAGAAGAACAGACATTAGTTGAGTTAAACAAGCTGTTGAGCCATATCATTCAAAATGTTAATGATTCGCCTTCATATATTTACCTGAAAGACTTAGACTTAACAAGCTCTTAAAGGACTGAGTGGAATATAAGAGCCTACTTGCAGGTTTACTTTGCAACTTGTTCTCCATATTTTTTAGCGCATTGACTTATAGAAAGCTAGTCCAAGACATGCAATAGGAACTGAGATGTATAATTAACTCTAGCTGTTCATTACTCTAATCAAATACAAAAGTAAACCTAGTTAACCTCAATATTGAGGTACACACTTCTCATGGATCAGACTGCAAAAATTGTGCTAAGAAAGAAAAAGAGATGAAGCAAAGTTCGAGATGAAAGGATCAATCTTTCTTATCAATCAGAAATCAATAAGATCAGTGCAAGCATTTAATACCAACAAGATCAAGCAGATTCATTAATATGATTGATAACAGTCTTTACATCTTGAGGATAGTAAGAAGGGTACTAGACCCCCTAATACGATAGAAAACGGGTAATCTAATCTGACAAGAGATGAGACATTCTATTAAAAGATCAAACCCTGAGAATTTGCAGCTTGGTGGAGAATGCAATGGCGACCCAATCAGGCTGAGAAGAGGACCATTGCAGCTGCTCAATCTCTGCACCAGCAGTGTAAGCAAGAATAGGGTCAAGACCACCTTCAACATGCTGTCCCATGGATGATATATCCCAAATCAAGGCTTGAGAATCATCTCCTGCGGTACAAATGTGACAAGAGCTATGAGGAGCCCAAGCAATGGCATTGACACTGGATTGATGTCGTTGAAGCTCCACCACAGGAAGAGCCGGAAAACGAATGTCGAGCACCACAACCTTAGCACTGTCCATGATAATGGTAGCCATGTACCTTGGATCCTGCTTGTTCCAACCTAGACGCACCAAAGGAGTATCTGGCTCAGAACTCTCATAGATAATAGTCGAATGTTCCTTATCACGAAGATCAAACACCCTAACAGAGCCATCAGCTGAGACAGAGGCGAAAACACCAACTCCACCCCAAGCAATATCAAAGACTTCCTTATCATGTGCAATAAGCTGAGTATCAACAGCTTCACGCTCAATATCCCAGATTGTGCAAGTCGTATCAGTGCTAGAGGTTCCAATTCGGCGTGGCTCAGCTTCGTTCCAGTCAAAGGAAGTAAGAGGACCACAAAACTCACTGTTCTTGTTGCTATTGAGACAAGATTTGAGCTCAACACGGGAGTGATCATCAGCGATTCGCCATAGACGAAGGAAATCACTAGAAGTAGCGAGAAGATCAGGTCTTTGGCCTTCCTTGTCAGGGATGAAAATGGTCTTGGTTGGTGGGTAAGGATGCTCGAAGGAGAGATTAGGGTCGGAACGGATCTCGCCATTGGATTCATCGAGCTGCACAATCTCGACTCGGTTCGGGTACTGCTCGAGCAAGCTTGTGATGGCGAGGCGGTACTTCTTATCGCGACGAACGCTCCAATTCATTGCGTAGATGTGCCATGGCGCTTCGTATGTGTAGATCTCTGAACGCTTCTGCTGCTCATCGGAACCGTCTTGGATCGGATCGCTGCTCGTTCCCATCGTCAAATCGATTCCGAGCAGAAACCCTAGAAATCGCCCCCGCTACTTCCGCTTCTATCAGTCTCACTGATGGAGAAAATGGATAATTCCAATTGCTTTATTATATTAATAATTCATATATATTTTATGAAAACGACAGCGTTTAAGGAAGAAGAGTAACATGGCTTATATGATTATATCGTTATCTCCGTCTTCACCAAGTATTTGACCATGTTCTATAAGAAACCAGATTACCAGAAGCTAACAACAACAAGAAAAGATTTTTAGAATCTCAAAAATTACAACACAAAAATTGTCTAATGAAGCACAGAACAAAAGATTCAACTGTAGGAGAAGAAAAAAGCTTAAGAAAGAGACAAGTTTTTCATTGTTCTATAGAAAACTCTAAAGTTCTTTTCTTGATAAAGACCATCTTTATGCCACATTTTCCCTCACTGTATCGATCGAAACCAAGCACCAAAAGTTGTCCCACTTTAATCAGAATCCTCGTAAACTTCAGTATCCGATAACTCATCAAATGTCCTCATGTCAAGCTGGTAACGCAACATACCACCAATCCCACCAAAACCTCTGCAAAATTGTGACCCTTCTTGGGATTTGTTAGTCACAAACTCAAGAGTGCAGCCGAATCGTTTGTACTCATTTGCAAACCATTCGAGCAGAGGCATCTTCTCCTGGACTTCTAGCTCTGCGTTTGTCTCTGAATCATGGAAGTTGCTTGTATCAGACTCTTGATCTTTCCCCAAGTGTTTCACCACCAATTCTCCCGTCGTGCTGTTCTTTAGCTCGTACCTGTTTATGTCCAGATTCTCCCACACGATAAGGGTTTCGATAGCACCCATTTCTAGAGCCTTTAGAGTATCCTCCACACCGAAAACATATTTCCCGGTATCTTGACTTATCT